CCTATTTATACAAAAACATTTATAGCGGCTCTTTTTGTGGTGGTTAAGAACTGGAAATCAAAGGGATGTCCATCAATTGGGGAATGACTAAACAAGCTGTGGTATATGATTGTAATGGAATATTATTGTGCTATGAGAAATGACAAGCAGGGGGGCAGCTAGGTGGCGCAGTGGATAGAGCACTGACCCTAAAGTCAGGAGGACCTGAGTTCAAATCCAGCCTCAGACCAAACACTTGACATTTAGTAGCTGTGTGATCCTGAGCAAGTCACTTAACCCCAATTGCCTTAAAAAAAAAAAAGAAAGAAAGGAAAGAAAAGAAGCAAATTCAGGAAATGTAAAAGCAAAATATATCAATAAAAATTTATTTTAAAAAGGGGGGGGGGAGCTAGGTGGCACAGTGGATAGAGCACTGGCCCTGAAGTCAGGAGGACCTGAGTTCATATCTGGCCTCAGACCAAACACTTGACACTTGCTAGCTGTGTGACCCTGGGCAAGTCACTTAACCCCAATTGCCTAAGGGAAAAAAAAAAAGAAAGAAAGAAATGACAAGCAGGATGATTTCAGAAAAACCTGGAAAGACTTAGATGAACTGATGCAGAGGGAAGAGAGCAGAACTAGGAGAACGTTGTACACAGTAACAGCCACATTGTGTGATGACTGACTTTATTACACTTGGCTCTTCTCAGCAACGCAATGATCCAAGGCAATCCCAAAGGACTAACGATGAAGCAAGCATACTATCCACCTCCAGAGAAAGAAACAATATTGATTGAATACAGACTGAAGCAGGCTAGCTTTCACTTTCTTTCATTTTTATTCAAGTCTTCTTGTACAAAATTACCAATATGGAAATGTTTTACATCATTTCACACGTATAACTATATCAGACTGCTTACCACCTCAGGGAAGGGGGAAGGGAAAGAGGGACGGACAGACTCTGGAACTCAAAAGTTTAAATAAAAATGTTAAAAAATTGAAAATAAAATCCTTTGCTTTCCTTATGACACTTACCATCCTCCTTCTACTGAGAGGGTGCTTGCTGGCTTTGGCATCAGGGGCCCACATTCAAACCCCACTTGTGCCCCTGCCTGGGTGGCCTTGGACAAGTCATTTCACCCCTTAGCCTCAGTCACCTCAACTGTAAAATGGCTTCTGCAGTGCCTTACAACTCTAGATCTGTAGAATCACCTATTTTTAAATCCCTCCCTGCTAGATTTTACGTTCCCCGAGCGGGGTTGCTTTCTAAACAGACTGTTGGTTATTGGTGAGCAACCAAGCATGATCTGCACCATGGGAAGGATGATGTCACAGAGAAAACCAACCAGCAAGATCACCTTGGGACAACTTCCTCAGTCTCCCTTTTACCCCCCCCCCCCCACAGTCACCCAGGGTCAGCTGGCTAGACTCCAGGCCTGGCACTCTGGGCACTGTAGCACCCTCCAGCAGCCCTGCCAGGTACGAATGAGACCAGTGACTTCCTCTAAGTCACACTTGTCTCGTCAAGAAGTCAGCACTTTCACTCTCCACGCAGCTGACCCTGGGAGGGACAGAAGGAAAGAGGAGGTATCTGAGCACAGTTCAGGGAATACAGAAGGGGTTCCAAGAGGTAGCAGCTGAGCTTGGCCTGGAAATATCAGCAGGCTCTGGACAGAAGCCAGGCACAGCATGAAGTGGAAGAAGCAGCAGCAAAGGCCCACAGAAGGAGAGCCCAGCAAGTTGGGGTGCTGTGGCTGCGGCAGATGGGGATCAGAGGCCTACAAGCGGCCTCTCTCGCCAACCAGGGGTACTGGGGAGAAGCCAGAGTACCCTCTGGGCTTCGTGTGCCCTTCGGCCCAAGGATTCAGAAGAGAGGCCCATCTGCTCTTCTACGACATAAGAGGCTGTGTTCCTTTGGACTATGAACATTTCCTCTGCCACGGGTTTTTCAGAACACTGAAGGCAATTCTTTAGTCATATGGTCCCATTCACCAGCAAAATGGTGCCCATCTGGTTTCCCCAGAAGACTAAGATCCCCGGGACAGTAAGAGGCTTTTTAAAAGGCCCTTCAGGACGGTTCAGAGACTAGTAGACTAGGCTACATAACCAGGTGCTCATGGAAGAAACTAGGCCCTAGAAATGCCCAAAGACAGGCGCCTCTACACAAACGAATAACTCTAAAGAGATGACACAGAACTGTTTTCCCTACTTCTGTCTTGACTTGGTGCTCATTTACAGGGCACCTTTTTGAAAGGCACGTACTCGCCTCTGCCTTTGGAAGAAAAAATCCAGAAAGAATGTCTTATGTCAGGAATCAGCACAAAGCAGGGAATCAATGAACGAGTGCAGAAATTGGAAGAAACAACAGTGGAAAGTAGCAGTGCTCAAAGGATGGCCCCAACCAAGCAGAGACCAATGTTCTGACCTAGATAAAGTTGCTTTCCTATTTAAAAAGGAGAGAGACAAGGTGGAGGGTGCGAAGATGTTCCTCCTGGGGACTCCAAGAGACTCCCTGCTCTTTCTCTTCACAGGGATCACATCGATGAGAGAAAGATGACTGCCCAAAGCATGAGGAGGCCGCATCACTGAAGATATGGAAGGCCTCAGAGCAGGCTCTTTTGGGGCATGTTCACACCAGGCAGATGGCCTCTGGTTCAAGGGGATCTGCAGGTGGGAAAGCAACACATAACCCAAAACTCCCCATAGCCTTTTGCCCTGGTAGGTCTCTACAGCTCTGACCTATCACCCTCTAGTCCAATGGAGTGGCCATCAATATTGCCAAAATGTGGACAGTTACACAAGACCTCAGAGATCTTATCTTATAGGAGGAACCCAACTGGTCCAAGGTATAATACTAACAAGGGATCTCTAATTCAAGGCTCCTGACACTAAACATTTATGACATCACTCTTTAGTTGGGGGTTTTCTGTGGTGATTCTAGATCAGATACTACGCAAAAAAAAAAGAAGAGAAACGTAAAAAGCAATTTCCAAATGGTCTACTTATCAGGAAGCAATAACTTCTTCACTGTAGTCATACTCCAAAAAATGCCTCATGATGTGGTGGGCATCACAGGAAGAAATAAACCACCAATAAGTTACAATTTTTTGGAAGTATAATTATAATTGAAGAGCCACCATCACACCCAGATTAGCAGACTATCAGATAACTTTTTTTCCCCATAACTGGATGGCTTCGGTTTACTGTTCATTAATTTACACTAAACCTTGTACATCTTTCCCAAGTCACCAATATGCATACATTTCTACATTTTTCTTTTGAGAGAGAAAATTCTACTCTGTCCTCTATATAAACATTTCCCCAAGTGGTCTCTCTCCTACCCTAGGTAGGTTAGCATAATTAAACAAAATTTAATTGAAAGATTGTTTTTAAAAGATAAGCAATTCAGTGAATTATTAATATATTAACTAATTTGGGGGAAAATGACCACACAATTATTTAAAACATTTTATGAAGAAAGGATATAAATTGAGAAATAGATTCAGCAGAAACCCATTTTCTCCTCTTTTCATCCTCTGGAAATTAGCATAATCCTTTCTTAAGGCCTACCTATGAAGTTTGTGAATATCTGACAATGTTTAGCCCAGTTATAATTCTTAATATATGATCTTCACATTCTGAAATAACAGCAATAATGTTAAAAAAAAAATAAGGCCCTAATTTACCTCTAATTATCAAAGATTATATTAGAATCATTCTCCATCTCCAACTGGGCTACAAAACAAACCCTATAAACATATCAACAAAATTTCAAGGGAAAAAAACTCATATATAAAAATAACCTTCAACTACTACTACGATGAGGTAAATAAAAATATCAGTGCTGAAATCCCACATAATCGCACTACAAACTTTGGACTGTCGTGTCTGACAAGATGGATATTGAGTCAGACAAGAAGAATGTATGTTTAATCTGATCTACCCATTACACCAGCAATCCTCATACTGCAAATATTCTAAGCTCGACCAGGAAGTTCTTTCAGTCAAAAGAATTAAAACTCACTTACAAAAGTTTCCTATGATGCTATGAACGTTAGCTCCAGAAGCCATAGAGTGGATAAATTCTGTCCCACCAGACAGAATTTGCACATTTTACCTCACACCAAAGGGACAATTATCTATGACAACTTGTGGCTGCCAGAATTCCTTCCATCCCATAATTACTTCATCTATTTACACAAAGCAGAGCCCAGCTCATCTGCACAGACACCTACGTATATAGGACAAAATTTATGGAAACTTGTGACCTTAAATATGCAGAATCCTTACTTAGAGGATGTCCCAGGCAGGGGACAGTCTGATAGGTTCATAAGGCAGATAAAATTACGTAATCATGAAAATCACAAAAACCTCTCCAAACAGTAAAATGTCTATTTCACAAAATTGTAATCAATACATCTACTTATATATATGTAGATAGAACTTCACATTAATATTTAACACCATGTTTATATAAGAAAATATCATTAAAAAGACAAAGATTATGCAAAAAACTTTTAAAGTTCTAATTTAGTTGAGAACTATAAATAAGGAAGTAAAAAAAAGGGGGCCAAGATGCCAAGACTTTCTACCCCAGTTTGGCAATGAATGCCAAACAGCTCACTGACCTTTCTAGAGAATGTCAGTCAGGCAAAACAATTCCATGACTTTCAATCATTGGGCACTTTAATAAATGAAGGCAGATCAGCGGTTTTTTAATTGGTTTAAGTATCTTATATCTTCATCAGAACCACATACAAAACCAGTGTTTGAACATTCCTTCCTCCTTCAGAGCCTTATCACGTATCAAAATGAGGTCAGCTACATGGATTTTCCTTTCAGACTACATGTTATGGGGACATTGAGATGAGGTTTATTTTTCATGGGAATGAGAGCAGAGAGAGGAGGGGAATCTGGCATCGTGATCACTGAGATAAGGCTCTAATGAAAAACCTACAACCTGGGTGGATGTGGGGGAAGGCAAAGCAAGCAGAATTCATGGTTACCATGGTTACACATACTCTTTGTTGTGTTTCAATGCCACATGATCTGACTCAAAGTAATACACGTCAGGCTCCTCCTCGTCCTCCTCTGGGGCTCGAAGGGCGGCACTCTCTTTGGCAGGCGCCACGTACCCAGGAGGGAGCCTGGCCTCCAGGGGTGGCGATCCAGGATCACAGCTCGTCCCCTTTCCAGTCTGAGGACCGTCCTCAGAGTCTGTGGGAGAACCATTGACATTAACGCTAAGAGGGACATTCTTTTCTGCTGGACTAAGATGGTTCTCCTCCATTTGTCCATTTTCTCTACAAGGAGAGTTATTTTTTGTGGGACTACCTTTGCTCGGGGCAGCCCTCCTTGGCGAAGTTCTCAATGTGTAGCGGTGCTCTTGGGGTTCGAACAAAGAGGTCATTGGAGCAGAAACACAGTCCGGGGCAGGCGCGGGGACAGGCTCTCCTGAGATGGGAGCCCTGGCATGACTAGCCCCGCCAGCACTGCTGGTGTTCTCACGGGAGGCGCTATCTCCTACCACGTCTACTTCTTCCTCAGAATCCCTTAAAGACGGCTGAATTTCAGGAAAGGGCACTGGAGCTGGCTCGGGAGTCAGCTCACGCGCGGGCTCCTCACGCAGGCAGGCAGCTCCTATTCTGTGGTCCTCCAACTTGACCTGCACTTGTGAATTTGTGCAAGGCACATTATGGTCTACAACGCTCTCTTCTTTCCTACTCTCAAGCAAACGGGAGGAATGGGCATCTGAATCCCCATTTTCAGCTACCGGCTGGTCCTGCAGCATACAGGAACCAGGACTGTTCTGTCTGGGGTTCCCATCAAGCTGACAGTCATCACAGTGGAGGAGAGCAGAGTCACTGTCATCAACCCCATTAAAAGCCCGAAAGCCTGCGCCTTCTTCCACGACAGCAGGGCTCGGGGACCCTTCCCTGCTGGCATTCACCTTTTTAACTTCCCTTTTCTCACAATCATCCAGTAGAAGGCATCGACAAGCTCGTTTGGCCCCTGGGGAATCAGCACCATTGTCCACTGTGGAGCGATGCCGCTCTGGGGAGCCCTCCTGGCTGGCTTTGGCAGGGGACTCTTCCTCCGAGCTACTCAGGGCCTCAGAGCGCAGACAGCGCTTCAGGCGCTTGAAGATGGGGGAAGCCGCTTCCGTGGGCCTCCTCTCACAGTTTTCTGCAGCGTGTCTCTCGACATCCTTTTCTGAAGAAGAAAGTCCTCTTTTCCTCGGGCTTACCCACAGCTCTCGAGTACCTGGCGGTCTTAGGTCAGCGGCCCTGGTGCTGCTGGCCCCTTTCTGAGTTTGCACAGACTCTGGTCTCTTCTTTGGTGATCTGGAGCGCACCTGACAATGGGGAGATCCTTCTTCAGGGTGAGCAATACTACGATTCCTTAAAGTTCTACCACAAAAAGTTTCATCCAAGCCGTTTAACCCCACTGTTGATCTTGTGACACGAGTAGACCGAGAAGCAGCCATACTATGGCAAATCCCTACATTACGGTCATCCTGATCCACTCATTGGGAAACCTTCAAAAACGTAAACAAAATAATGAGAAAAAGGTCATAGTTAATATAGCCACAAAGATCAGATTTAAAGTTATAACTTTTTAATGGAAGTTCAGCTAACATTAAATTTATCAATCAGGTCACATAAAAACCCTTCATTAATATTTCCAAGCAGATCTACTCGGGCATTGCATGGATAGTGCTCCCCCAAAAGTTTCTGAGGTTTTTTTTTAATGATTGTTAGACATTATTCCAGACTGGTTTTACCATCGTCTTGAACTTATACAATAAAAATTTTGTTCTTCTAAAATTTCTGAAATCAGTTTTCATCTGTCCTCATACTATTCCCAGCAGGGAGGTAGGGGGCAGTCTGCTCTTTTCAATCCTTCCTTACTAAAAATGAGTTACAAGTCAAATCCCATTACAACAAACTCCCCTTCGGCATCTAAAAGAGGGTTCTTTCCAGTGGAATTTTGTTGCAATCAGGGGGTTAGAAATCACATTCGTGGCCTGAAGTGGTTAGAAGTGGCATTGCAAGTTCAGTCTCTGCAAATGGGATAGAGAATTACTAAGTGAAGAGAAGTCCTCCAAAGAGAAAATCTCTGAAGCAGTCAGTCATCTGATTTCAAGATGCGATAAAAACATCCACTACCTGTCCCTTTCCTTGCTTAATTTCCTGGATCTCTGGGGTGCCAATATTGTTCTAGTTTGGGCCACAGTTTGGTTTTGCTCTGCTTTTCCTGGGGGGGGGGGGCGCTGAGACATCTGAGGGAAGGAGCAGCAGAAGCCAATTCCTGGCGGATGCGTCTACGACTACTGCCCCCCCTTTCTTCTGTACAATTTTGACATGGTGCACTGCAGCTTTACACCCCCACTTCCACTGGAGGATAGAGGCCAAGCTCCCCCTCTACTACAACGTTTCCAAGTACTAACAAGTAACTTTCAATGACTGAAGGACTGTCATGACACTCCCCCTAGAGCCCAAACTAAGTATCAATCAATCAACATTTATTAAGCACCTAATACGTGCCAGGCACTATGCTAAGTGCTAGCATCATGTGGTTTGTTATATGATGTGTATGGGAACCCAGAAGAGCCCTGGAAAAGGCACACACACAAATGTTTTAAACTTTTTGTTGTAAAGTATGGTATGCATTCTTCATTAAAGTTTTGTCTGGAGAATGTTAAACACCCACCAAAGCAGTACTGGAAACACAGTCTCAGCACCGTCACTCCCCTGATACATAATGGCAGCACTTTTGTTCACTGCACTGTTAACAGACCATAATCACTGTTATCTTAGGCAGAACACGGAAAGATATGGTAAATACGGTAAATCTTTCATTGCCATGGTATTTATCATAATGGGATCTGACCTGCAATTCCCTTTTGTTTAATGTCTGTGTCAAAATTATGAACTATTTTTTTCCATTCAAAGCACTAACTGTAAATTTCAACTTCATGAAAAAAGAAATTCTAATAAACTGGAAATTTCTTTTCAAAGAAGGAGGGAAGAAGGAAAGGGAGCCCAATATTCAAAATAATATAACTTTCTTCATAAGCCCATGGATGAGACTCTAATCTGAAGGTGACAGATGCTGGAAAAATATTAAAAGCCAGAAAGAAGGTACAAAGGAAATACAGCATCGAACTGAAGCTTCAATTATAGAAGCTAAATCATTAACAAAGGCAAATGCTCACAAATAACAGACAATCCTATGCTGTTCAGACACTATGGGCTGTAATTCTAAACATTTTTTTTTTGCTTGGGGGGGGGGCGGTAGGCAATTGAGTTAGGTGACTTGCCCAGAGTCACCCAAGCTAGTGAATACTATGTGTCTGAGGCCAGATTTGAACTCAGGTCCTCCTGACTCCAGGGCTGGTGCTCTATCCATTGAACTGCCTCTTGGCTATAATTCTATAAAGTCATACAAAAGTAGCTAGCTAGCTCGTTCATTGTATTTTTAAACTAATGCTAAAATATGTCAACTATCCAAATGATCCTAACCTTCAAATTACAGATTTCAACAAACGGCTGCCTTGCCAACCATCTGAGCTAGAAAGAAATTCTATGCTCACACTGCCTCAGAGATATAGTATTTCAGATGAGAAAAAATGATCACTAAAGTCCAAACATTCAGGTGAAGCTTCTAACCCTAATTCTAGATTCCAATTCAGATTATTCTCTGCCATAAATTCTGCTAGACTCCGAGATAAGGTACTTTTATTTCTTAACCAATCCAGATTCAGGAATACATTTAAATAGCAGATAAAATAATTTCTATGTACCATATCCCTTTCTGCTCACTATTTACTAACACTGATTCAAAGACCGAAAAAATGTGAAAGGTTTTTAACTAAATACTGTCTTCTAAAGGCTAAAAATGTTTCTGTCCTCATTAACTAGAATGAACTGTAAGTATTCTCAAAATTAAGTAAAACAATAGCTCATTTGTACTTGGAACAGTCAACAAACTCTGTTCTGCTCTCTCTTCTTCTGCCTTATCGCAAGGCTTCAGAGTGGTCACTGAACTTTAAATTTGGATTTAATTCGGATTTTATACTGAAATCACGTGTTTATTACCATTAACAAAAAGATTACAATAAAGCTAGGATCTGACAGGCTAAGAAAACTTACAACAAGTGTGCCCATCAGGGCCAGAAGAGGTCTCCACTGAACCATATATGCCAATCACATGTCAATTACACACCAAAGATCTGAAAGTTATTTTTTAGTTAAAAAAATATTTTAACAATCTCCCTCCTGTTAATTCTTCTTTCACTTTTACTCTCCTGTCCCTCACCAAAAACACATGGGTAAGGAATGTGAGGTTACATCTACATTCCCATTCCGTGGTGCCAAGGACCAAGTGCAAATATCTCGATCACCCAAGGGTCTAAGCCCCATCCTTCACCACTGAGGGCTGCTATATCACGACTGGTCAAGTCCCAGAGGCTGGGCAGGGGGTTCCCTCATATCCACTGGGTAGAAGAAGGGAGAAGCTCCTGGGGGGACTGAAGGACTCATAGAGAAACATCAGGCATTAAGGGACAGGATGAGTCAAGCTCAAATATGCTGAGTGGGCAATATTTTTGTGCCCAACGTCCAAGAATTAGGAAGGAGCACTGGGGGCAGAGGGCTGCCCGTGCTCCAGCAGGAAGACCATCGCTATGGAACTAGAAAGGCTACAGCACCAGGCCACAGAGGACTGTTACTTGGCAAAGGACACGTGGACAACACCCAACACGGACCAGATTCACACCAAAGCTCTTTTCGGATAAAACTAAAGGGAGCACATCTGACATAAACAGAAAGACAACCCCTAAATGTTCACATCGCTGTAAAACACATCTAATCAATGAATTCGCCTGTGAAATTGGGCCTGGCCCTCAGCCACTAGAAAATGTCTCCCACTTTTTTATTTTCAGTTGTTCAATACCTCTCCATAAAGCTGTATTCTATTCTTGCCTTTCTAAGATCTAGAAACAGAATTCCAAAACTCTCAGGAAATATTCCTCACTATCTCCATCTGTTTCCAATTCCAACTCTCCCATGATTTCCACTCTAGCCCACAAGGTAATTTCCCAAGTGAAATGGAAACATGTTGATTACAGCCTCTCATAACCAGTACCAAGATCATCAGATGGAAGCAGGAAGCACATGACAAAAAGCTGTTTAATTAGAGAACAGTTACCAAAAGCCTCTTAGACAGACAGTGCTCCTGGTATAATCTTTGAAGAAGGCTGTGAAACCTCAAGAGACAGGTGGTGAGTAAAAGCTAAAAGACAGCACCTGGAGTTATTTTAACTCCCACTCCTAGATCCCCTCAAAGTGATACAAAGTGATTAATCTTGGGGTGAGGGGGACCACAAACATGGCCTGCGTCAGAGTCAATGCGATTATCTATGCCGAACTGTGTCAAGTGAACAAGAGTTAGTGAAGCAATCTAGGAAACCTGCCTGCATCCTCCTGAGGATGGAAGAGGCAAAGAAAGGAGGATCTGGAGGAGGGCCCTCAAGACTGGTTGCTGATATGGTCTTTAAGTTAGTTAATAGCCAGGTGACACCAATTGATGAAAATGAAAAGGTTTAGACCAATTTTTCCACTGGAAAATAAATTCAAAATCTAGGAACAACATAAAGACTATATCTCTTGCACCATTCTTTAAAGAAGGAATTACTCAGGCTGAACTATGTGTCCACCTACATCATCTACAAGGAATAACTGAAAAGTGTTTTTTTTCTGAACGTCCACCTCTGCAATTCAAATCATACAGTAGTGAATTCCATCTACCAACAAAGCATGGCCACTTGTTTTATTTCGAGGGACTACTCCCCGCCTCTCTACTAATAATTTCTGTAGCGTATCAAAAGCAGAATACAGCAGCCCCTGCGATGGATCTGGCTGGGGCTAGAAGCTCCCTATTATAAGAAGAAATAACTCTACTTACAAATTACCTAGTCATTTGCACTGTACCTTCAATAAATAAGGTGTTAAACAACCAAAATAATCATAAATTTATATGTCTACAATCCACTTGTCACTTTCTACGTAAAAGACGAGAGAACTGAGAAGCCATATACACTAATACGACATTCTTCAATAATTCACAAGGCACGTAGATAACTTACCTGTACAACCAAAGAGCTATCATTTGGGGAAAAACCATCTCTTTGGAGAGCTTTTTTGTTATCCTGAAGGATTTGGAACCATAACAGAATAAAACTGAGGATCCATTGATTGAAACTTTCCATTTCAGCCAAAAGGCAATTAGAATATCTCAGGTTCCTTTATTTAAAGGAGAAATCAACTCTGAAACATGTCGGCCAATGCCCTCGGGAAGGGGTAAAAGAGATCCACCCACAAGATGGGCTCTTTGGGAAATTACTCAAAGTCAAGGTGTACACATGATCTCAAGGACATAGGATCACCTGTAAGTGACCACTAGTCTCAAGAATGCTAAATGACAGAAGACATAATCATTTAATTAGAAACCAACAAATCCCTAAACAAAGTTGACCATGTAAGACTACCTTGCAACAGCTTCCTATGTGAATCTGAGGATTATTTGACTGAAAAGTCAAATAATCATTATTCCAAGATCAAAATGTACTAGGGCACCCAGGTCACTTAGAGGCAATTAATAGCTTGTCTAAGATCAAAATGTACCTACTTTCAAGAAACTGCCACAAAAGCAACAAATTTTAAAGAACTTGAAATGATGACTGTCCATCACAAGATAAAGAAACATGGACAGAAGAATCCAATCAGCTAGGGTCAGAACTGAACACCGATCACAAAGGGTACCCACACAAATGGACTGATGGGTGCTCCAGAATCATGTTTAGAGTCCAAAGACTTGGATTCAAACCCTAACTTGGCCATTAATGAATGCGACTTTTAACTAGTCACTGAAGTTCCCCGGGCCTCATGTTTTAGTCAATAAAAAGAGGGCCAAGATCTCTTCCTGCTCTAGAAAGAAGACCCTGAGGCACTCCCTTAGAGACTGTGGTCGCAAAGGGGCCATTTCAACAATGTTCTCAATCAAGGGCCGGAAGGCTTTTATCACTTACAAAATTTACAGATGACCTAAAGCTGAGGAGAGTGAATACAAAGAAGTTTAAATCATTAATCAAGGTAAGCCATGGGCAGAGTTTGACAAGATAAAATTTTAATTTAGGCAAACATAAAAGTCCAGTACTGGCTTTCAAAACCAACTGCACACATCTAGGAAAGGAGAAGCTGTGGCTAGAAAGACACAGGGTGTTTTGTGACCTACAAATGCAGATTTTCCTATGGAACTCCCTGGGAATCAACAACATGAGTGTTTGGTCAAGACTCACAATTTCACTAGTGAAGAAACTCTTTGCACCAATGGAGATCAACAACTGTGGAGTGACTGAAAGTTTTACACACCTGCCTAAAATCGGGTTAGTTTTCCTCCTTCAATCACTACATTTCAGAAACGAGCCTTGGGCTCGGGTTGTGCTGGCACCAAGGCTAGCTCTCTATCTACACCACCCTACGTCAAGAATACAATGTGGTAGACAATATGATGTGATATTAAGATGCATTTAAAAAGGATATTGTCCAGAGCATGGGGAGGAGAGAGATTCTGGCTATAGCCTCCCTCGGTGGCACCGTATCACCTACGAGGGTGTGCCAAAGTGTCTTCTGGGGTCCTGGGCCTGGAGTCAGGGGGACCTGACTTTGGTCCTTTGGACACTTATTAGCCCAGTAACCCTGGGCAAGTCACTTAACCTGTCTGTCTCAGTTTCCTCAAGTGCCAAATAGAGATTATAGCAGCTCCTATCTCCCAGGGTTGTAGTGAGGATAAGATGAGATCCTATTTGTAAAAGCTGAACACAGTGCTAGTGCACAGTAGGCCCTACACAAATGCTTCTTCCCTTCCCTTGCTCCCCATCACAAGCTGAAGCATCCAAAATCAAGGCACAAAAGAACTGAGTAAGGAACAGGAACATTAAGCCCAGAAAAAAGACAACACGGCCACAGCCACAGCATTGAAACACTGGAAGGGGAAGGGTGACTGTGCAGAATTGAAATTAAGATTCCCTCTTCCTAGCCTGAGAAAGCAGACACAACTGAGAAAAGGCCGATGGTGGTCAGCACAGAAAGAACCTTGCTTCCAACTGGAGCCAGACGTGGCTGGGGCCTGGAGAAGGGATTCCTGCTCCAAGGACAGGTCAGACAACAGGCTCATCTCGATGACATGCACCTGCAAGGTCATCACAGGCTCAAGGCGAGTAAAATCTCCATCAACAAGAACAGCATCTACATTTCACTTTCCAGGGAAGCAAACTAACAAGGCAGGCTAACACAGAGGATTTTAAAACTTTTTCAAGTCTGCCAAAGCACGAGCTGTCGGGAACAATCTAGGAACCTCACTTAACAAACAAGCGCTTTACTCCACCAGTATTTCCTCTTTCTGAGGTCAGGAAGAAAGGCATTTTAGAAAGATTTTCAAAAAGCCTAAGAATAAAGAGGTTTTTTCTGAGTAATTCATTTAACCAAGTCAATTAATTGGGGGGGAGGGGGGGAAGACCACACATTTCCCAAGGAACTGGGTTGATCAGAGTTGAAATTTATGATTTCTCTAAATGTCATTCTTTTCAGAGGTAGAATTCTAATATACCACCACAAAGGGGAGAAAAATGAATGGTCTACAATGAGATCTGGGGGTATACCCGGGATAATTAAGCAAAGCTATTATTTTTAAAAGCTGGTCAATAGAATTACCATTTCCATCACACAGCAAAGTGAATTGTTTAAGCTCTAAAAGTCGGTTCACTTTAAGCCTAGAGCTCAAAATGTGTCCTAGGTTCTTTACCTAACAGACCAATGTATTGCCATTAGATTTAAGGAGGAAGGAATAAGGACTCAAGACTCAGCCACTCACAAAACTGCCCTAAAGCCTGCTAAAATTTTTCAGCAAGAAAAGTCTTAGGCAGCCAAGCTGTCTAACTATGAAAACTCTACTGCTATCTAAGCAAAGTTAACACTAGGAAAAAAAGAGCCAGTCTTTCAAAAAGACAGCCCTGACCAAATGCACTGTGGGGGGGGACAGTGGGAGGTCTCATTCCATTTCACCAATGGAGAAGAAAGGATTCAGGCCTTCCCAGTGTCTCTCCCAGGACCTAAGGACCAAAAGCGAACCTTTCGTCCTCACTCTAGAACCCTGGTTCTAGAAGCTAATGACCCTGCCTCATTTCAACAACATTCTCAGCAGAGAAAAGGGCCTCCACACACATGTTCATTACACACAGTTAGCTTATGATTCTCAATTAATCATTTCTACTAATGAAAAGTCCTCTTTTTCTTACCTTTGGACAGGGGCTTCACTTAAATCATGATTCCCAGGCTTCTGTATTTATCTGTATTATCACTGTTAATGTCCATGTTACTATAATGAGGCTTCGATTCTTAATTATTTATGGGGTTATATTAGCACAGCTCCATATCTGTGAAGGAAAATCACAATGTAATTACTAAAAGTGTCATTTTACAACTATTTGTGGAGAAAATAATCATGATACTTAACATTTACATAGCATAACATCTTTGAAAAAACTTAAACATGATTTTTTTGGAATTGCCTATGAAATAGGTAGTATCTTCATATTAGGGGTGGTCAGAAACAAAATAAAGCGAATTAGAAATGTACTTTCAAAGGCCCTCTCATAAATACACATGCACAAATTTTTGTAGCTCAATGAAATCTGGGGAAGAAAACAACTTTTAAAAATATTTTTAATTCCAAACTTTCCTTTCTGGCCTCTCATACAGGCATTTTATTTATTTTTTAAATATAAGTAGCAGCAGCAGATTGTAATTATCTCTCTATTTAAAACAGATCACACCTCCTATCTCTTCTAAAGTCAAGTGGACAAATTATTGATTATTACCATGTGTTCAAACTCCTGCTCCCAGGAAGCTCAGTCTACCAGGGAAACAACATGCAAACAATCACACACAAACAAGATCTACACAGGCCAAACCAGGGAAAACCTCAGTGGGCAGGCACGAAGATGAAGGAGGACTAGGAAAGGCTGCCCGCCCACTGCGGCCTTTGAAGCGAGATCTGAAGGAAGCCAGAAGACAGAGGTGAAAAGGAAGAACCCTATAAAGTAATATCAGAATAAAAATAAATCACATTTCTGGCAGGAAATCTTGTGAGCTTATACTATCTTTTCAAAAGTCCATTAAAAATGGATCATGTGTCTGCTTATTAGCAAGGAAGGGAGAGAGAAAGGGGGCAAATTACCACCACATTGGCACTTCAGGGTTATCTTTTTTAAGTGCTATCTAGAGAGGAGCAGTACAGCATAGTTTGGGGGTGGGGAACCTGCAGCTTTGAGGCCACAGGTGGCCTTTCAGGGAGTTGGGTGCAGCCTTTGGACTGAGTCCAAGTTTACAGAACAAATCCTTTTATTAAGAACAAATCCTTATTATTATTATTCTTCCCCACCCCTGGCAAGCCTGCCAGGAAAACCTGGGTTCAAGTCCAATCTCTGGCTCCAAATGATTGTGTGACTCTGGGCAAATCACAATGTCGCAACGCCCTAGTCACCTCTCTAAATTTTTAAACTACAGTAGAATTATATCTGTGGCATCTCCTCAATATGAAATCACAATACGGATGAAATAACAAAACTAGATCCCACCTTCCCAACCCCACCCCCCACCCCTAAAACAGGAAAACTGATTTTCTCACATTACTCTGAAAGTGTAGAAGAATGACTTTATAATACATTGATGAATCTCTAAGTGATTTTGTCTTTCCCACTGGAGCACATCTTCGAAATTATTTACAGAGATAAATGGAAAAGAAGTTCGATTTACAGATTGAAATACACCTGAGTAAGTGGAATCTGGGATCTACAAGATCATCTATTCCAATCTACTCATTTTTCAGTTGAGGCAACTGAGGTTCAAGAGAAGCTGACTGATCCAGGGTCACCTGGGTAACGAACGAACGAATGGGAGAGTGGCGGTCAAAGCTCTGACTCCGCAGAGGCTCCTTCCAGGACAGCACAACGCTCGGAGCAGACTGGCTCAATGTTCCTATACTCACTCAGATGGCAAGTAAAGTGCCTGCCACTGAAGCAAGCAACTCACCAAAAGCCTGCGATTCACCAGGAACATAAACAGACGGCCAAATGTCACACCACAAATCCCCCATCAGAGACTGCTCCTCACAGATGAGAAAGGGAAGCAACACGACAGTTCAATCTACATAAAACCGAAGGAAATGGAGTTCATCTTCCACCTATTTCTGGAGCAGCTGCTCTCAAGCAGGGACGGCTCCGTGTTTCTCCCGGCACCCCCAGAGTTAAGAACAGGCAGGGCCCTTAGCATGTGCTCACCGATTGGCTTGGGAGAAGGTTCACTGAAGAGTCACCCATTTGTTCAGTCTTCTCCACACAAATAAATGGAATTAAAACTATTCAGTAGCTACTAATTAAAAGCCAATTATATTTCTGTTCAGTCACTTTATGTCCAACTCCTCGTGACCCCATTTGGGATCTCTTGGCAAAGACGTGGAGTGTTTGCCATTTCCTTCTCCATCTCATTTTACAGATGAGGAAACTGAGGCAAACAGTGAAGTGACTTGCCCAGGATCACGCAGCTGAGGCCACATCTGAACTGAGGTCCTGTTTACTGTGGGCACGGCATTCTATCCACTTCGCCCCCAAGCTGCACCCCTCAAACCCTATCCAGATTCCAAAATATTTTTAAGACTGTTAAAGTCTAGAGATTTTATGTATTTGGAGTTTAAAAAAAAAAAACCAACCCCTGTTGCTTATTTCTACATCGAGATATTCCTAAGTTCCTTTTAAGAAGTCTCCATGGTTCTTAGAATTAGCAGTGAAGCTAAACCAGCCAAAACTCCCATAATCCTCCATTGTGTTCCAGATTTCATTCACTATCCATTTCAAACATAAGCATGCAAACCAGATGCTAGATAAAGCCATTCCAGAGCAAGACCTGAAAAATGTTAATGCTGTTGTTAACGTTTCATTTCAGTCTCTAAAAGACTTACCTACATTTCAAGAATCCTTAAAAATTACTGTATTTTCTGGAAACATACCCCCAAAGCAAGCCGTACAAACCCTATCCCCCCCCAGCCTCCTTGTTTACTCCTTCCCACAGAGCTCTGCTTGTTTCCAGGGACTAATAAAATTCAGTTGCTATTCAAACATTCCAAAAGCCAATCCAAGAACTATTCTTCCCTGCAAAGAATTAGTTTTTTTAATACTCAGATTCTAACACTGGTACTTCTGTTTTAGACTTTAAGAGATCAGATTTGTGATAGCAAGATACATAAAATGAGTAAAAACACCAGTGTTAACTGTCTCCAAGTAAGACAGGAAGTGGTATAAAAATAGTTACAAGTAACACAAAAAATATTTATAGATAAATAAAACTGAAAATAATTTCTACAAGTTGTCACATGGAACTTAATATTTAACAAACTACCACAGTACCTGTAACAACTGAAGAGTTTAAAAGAAAACTATGTAATTATAAAGAAACTTTAAGACCTAACACCCTATAAAATAAAATCTATGTCAATGTTCAAGCAACAATAACAGTACAGGGCCAGCAAGGAAATAAACACCTCAATTAGGAAATGGTGAAAGGGGAAAAAAAATGTTTAATTCAGTTTTTAATAACCTAAAAACAACTAGCTACCAACAGCTTCTCCGAGACCCTCATGAGCCTGTCTGGGAAACAGATACAAAAGTGTAACTAAATAACATATACACCTCTTGGAAAACATTGCTGATTTGGAAAGGACCTGGGTTCGAATTACAGCTTATGAGGTGGATAGAGTCATAGGCCTGGAGTCAAGGGGATCCGAGTTCAAATTTGACCTTAGACACTTAATGGCTACCAGTAACCCTGGACAAGTCACTTCATCCTGTTTGCTTCAGTTTCCTCATCTCTAAAAAGAGCTGGAGGAAGAAATGGCAAACTATCCCAGTATCTCTGCCAAAAATGGGGTCGCCAAGAGTCAGACATGACTGAAACACCTGAACACCAAAGGCACGACTGGGAGAAGGCTAGCCACCTCCAGTCCATGTGGGGCCACATCTAGATCTGGGTCTCCAGGCCCCAAGCACTAGCCTCTAACTGGAGGGAGGAGATCCCAGTCTCTCAGGAGCGCCATCTCTTTCCCTCACCTGGCTGGACCCCCGGCCCACCTCACCGTTTTTTCTGCTTCCCTCTGCAATAGGTATGTAGATCACGTTCCTGTGAACTGTCTTGGCCTGGCTTTGTGTCACCAGTGGTTAGGGAGGTACCTGGCACCAAGAAGGCCCTTAATGTTTACTGACTGACTGACTTCCTACTGCGAGCCCAGAGAATCTTCACATCTAATCATATTCCAAGCCTACTTTGAAAAAATTTCTAAGGATAATAATATTGTGCATTTTTAAAGCGCCTACTATATACCAGGTGCTGTGGCACTTGTTTTACACATATTATCATCTGATCCTCATAGCCCTGGCAGGTAGGCACTAATTATTAGTGTCCCCATTTTACAGCTGAGGAAACCAAGGCAGACAGAAGTTAAGTGACTTGTCCAAGATTACACAGCTAATAAGTGTGTGGGGCTGGATCTGAACTCAAGTCTTCCTGATTCCAGGACCAGTGCTCCATACACTGTAATGCCCACTACCTGCTTCCAAAAAAAAAAAAAAAGCCTCCCTCCTATCCAAGAAGATTCCTCAATTCCTGGGGTTAGCAGTCAAGGTCATTGCACATCTGGGTTAACCTCAGGTTTACCTCCAACTACAGCCCTTGCTGAACCCTGAGCCAGCTCCCCTTTCTACTTTCCTGGATTTCCTCTTCATTCTGCAAGATGAAGTCAACTGGGGAACTCATCCCACCTGGACCACCCTCGTCCCCCCCCCCCCCCCCCCCCAATTAGAGGGCAGGACACTTTCTTGGCATCCTGGCACTTAGCACACAGTCTCTGGTCCTTGACTCACTGACTCCACGTGTCCAAAAGGGAGCTGGAGATTTGTAACCATAGCTGAGGAGACAGAGAATTCCAGCACCACAGGGAATCATCTGAAGAAAGATGGTGGAGTTCATGAAATCCCCAAATGAGAACATATGGAACCATCTGTGAAGAGGGTCCAGGAGTAAATCTTTGGGGGCCCCCGAGTGGGCAGGATGTGGAGGCCAGTGAGAAGCCCCAAGAGAGAGCAGCAGAGGAAAACGTCTCCAGGAGGGCTGGGCAGTGGCTGATGTGGCAGAGCTGGTGGGGATCAGATTTAGCAATTAAGAGAAGCAGACAGCATTGACATCAGAAGTGCCAAACTCTGGGGCCACAATACTCCTGGGCAAGAGGAACCAGATTAAAATGCATCACGAAAGAAATAAAACACAGATCATGTTCCCAGGAGGTTTCCTACAAAGTCAATATGCATGGTTTTTCCTTGGGGTTTAAAGCCCTGGCTTAGAAGAGAGCGAGAAATGAAGTGGAGGAAGAGAGCAGAGAATTAACATGAAGGGAGGAGGAATGCATTCACAGAAGGTGAAACCTTCCAGGATAAAGGAGAAAAATCACTCATGTCATACCTTTACAGTCAAGCTGCTGGGCACAACTGCCTCTGATTTCTAGTCTTCAAAGCTGTGTCACCTCTACAGATTACAAGGCCAAGGCTTCATCTGGATGCAGGTATAAAAAAGAAGTGCAGGCAGCTCCCAGAGGAGTGATAACAAGACACTGCAGTATGGGAATGTGCTCAGCCACTCAGGAAAGGGTCTCCTCAGGAAGGCAGCCCTAAGAAGCACGTTGGAGTCATCAACACTTCAGTCTCCCACCTCCAGCCGCCTACTGGACAAGAAAACTAGATGTATGGCGAAGGCCATTCCTGCCAACACTCTGCAGCGAGACTTGAACTAGATTAAAATGTAACTGGGAAATATTTTTAACAAATGAAAATAAAAGAAAACAATCAACGTTAATACGTGGCCTCCAATCCCATCTGAGTTTGACACCACTGCTCTAGAGATTTTATCTGTAGCACCTCCCACACTGACCTCATTGTCTTTCCCCTCTCAAATCCTACCTTCCAAATCTCCCTATTCTTTTTTTATCTGAGGATGACCTTTAATTACATATGCAAATTGGCATAGCATGTACAACATGAGCAATCTTTAGGTAGTCCAGGGTTCAGTAAAATGGTAGTCCTTGATGGTCAGTATAATCACTGAAGCGAGATCCATAAATATAACTTAGTCCAACTTGATGAAGCCAATGTCCTTGGCATACTGCCAGAAGCACCGGTGGCACACGTTCAGGCTGTACTTGCGGATCAGGCCACGCCAGTTTGAATAGACATGGCACGACCAAGACCCCTGGCCAAATTTTCAAGGGTGGCCCCAGTAGAGCTGCTGGTGACCCATGGCACCACTAGCAAAGACACGAGACCAAAAAAATACAAAAAACAAAACCTCCCTATTTCTGTCAAGGCAAACTCTCTTCTCCCAGTTCCTCTGGCTCCTACCAAGGAGCCCCCCGGCCTCCCCACATCCAAGCTGTCACCAAAGCCTGCTGATTTCACCTTCAGAGCAACTCTGGAACATGCCCTCTCCTCTCCTCTCCCCTCCTCCAATCCTGGCCTGCCATCACTGTCTCAACCCTGGACCACTCCAATGGCTGCTGGGGGTCTGCCTGCCACTCCAGCCCATCCTCCATTTGGTCACCAAAGGGACCTTCCTAAAGTGCAAGTCTGATCATGTCACCCCTCCCCGAAATAAACTCCAGTGACTCCCTATGACCTCCAAGATCCAATTCCAAATGCTCTGGCATTCAAAGCCCTTCATCGCCTGGCCCCCTCCCACCTTGGCAGTGTATTTTATGATCCAGTGATGCTGGCCTCCTCAAGGTTCCTCACACAAGACACTCATCTCAAGACTCCAGACATTTTCACTGGGTCTCCCGGTTGCCTGAAATTCTTTCCCTTCTCCAGGAACTTCCCAGGCTTCCTTCAAGTCTCAACTCAAACCCGACCTTTTCCAAGCAATCCTTCCCAGTCCTTTTGAGAATGAGTGCCTTCCAGCTGAGATGACCTCCACTGTGATCTACACAGCTGTCTGAATGCTGTCTATGCCAGTAGCTCATAGGCTCCTTGCGGGCAGGGACCACTCGGGCTTTTCTTTGGAGCCCCCCGGCCCTGAAACTGCCTCTGGATGTAACAAATGCTTGTTGGCCAGACACAACTGCTTTGCCCAGTTTCAGCCAGCTGAAAGTGTATGAGGCAGCACTGGAAGCCAGGTCTGCCTGTCTCCAAGTCTGATGTTCTACCCACTAAGCCTAACTCGTCTGGGGAAGGGGAAGGAAGGCAACAGCTCTGGATCTCCTCCACTTTTCCAGTTTAAAAAAAAAAAAAAGTTTATCATTAACGACAATTCTCCGAAAAGCTCAATTACCTTGGAATGCACCATCACCCCCAATCCAAGGAGACTCAATCACACAAATCATTGGCCAAGGTGGCCCCTCGCCCTTCAGACTCAATCTGCTGTGCCTTCATTTTAATTTGAGCTTCAGCAGCTCATTCACAAAGAGCAAAGGTGTTCCAAGAGTGTCCCCTAACCACCACCACTCCCAAGCTCTACTGTTCTAGAAAGAAAGACTCCCAGGAACAACGATGCTGAGAGTGTGCAAACAAACCAACTATTTCTAAAATAGGTCAACAGAACCTCCCAGCAAAGAGCCCCACCACCCAACTGAGCAAATTAGAGCAACAGAAGGGCATTAACCAAGGCACTGAGAGGTGAAGTGCATTTCAAATCCAGCCTCACCACAGTAGCTGTGTGACCCTGGGCAAGTCACTTAACTCTAATTGCCTCAGTTTCCTCATCTGTAAAGTGAGCTGGAGAAGGAAATGAAAGATACTCTAGTATCTCTGCCAAGAGAACCCCCAATGGGGTCACCAAGAGTTGGACAAGACTGAAACGGCTGAACAACAACAAAACTAAGGCTTGCTGGAAGGAGCCCTGTAACTCAGTCACTTCTCCTAAGGAGCCTTCCGTTCAGGTTCAGGCACAACCCTGATAAACCAGACACTGCTTGCTTCATTTGTGTCCCTGAAAAATCAGGAGAGCACAAGGCGGGACCCCCGGGGCACCCCAGCGGGAAGGTGGGACTACAGCCTGCATCTCCAGAAAGAACATTCACATCGACCAGGAAACAGAGCCATCTGAGCATGCAAGCAGGAAAACATCGAGCTGAGTCCCGCTTCTCATCAACCTAATAACTGGCATTTGTACAATGCTTACCATGTGCCAGGCACTGTGCTAGGAGGTAGGTACTATTATGATCCCCATTTTACAGGTGGGAAAATTGAGGAAGACAGTGGGGAAGTGACTTGCCTGGGGTCACACAGCTGGGACATGTCTGGGGCCAGGTTTGAACTCAGGTCCTCCTGGCCCCAGGCCCATGCTGCCTCTTCATCCTTCACTAAAGCCCTACTACAAAGGTTTTGCCAACACAGTATAATCCCATCTGGAAAGCCTGGTGACCTCAGGCCTTGCAGAGAGGCTCATGAGCACGCAGAGAAGATGGCATTGCTACTCAGTCCTATGTCAGTGACTGGAGGTGCTACGGTAGCCTCCTTCCATCCCAGGAGACAGAGAAGCTCAGTTTGGCTTGAGGGCAGTGGACTGGACCAGCGAGTGAGACCCCTTCCAGCTTGGAAACCCGGGTCAGGAGTCGTATCTGCCCCGAGAAGGCCAAGATCAAAAGAAAAGAAGGACTGAACAAAGTCTTGTTTTATTTATACTTCTCTGGGGAATGGAGCTGACCCTGGGCCCTCAAATCCTATAAAGATTACAAGAAAAATCTTCCACATCATTCATTATGATTTTCAAGTTTTAAAAACTGAAAGACTTGGTTCTAAGTTCTCCAGTTTGGGAAGGCTGGCAGGTAGAAAGGTGGGTAGGCAGGAAAGAAAGGATTTAGTGAGCAAGATGGTGCACTGGACAGAGCACCAGGCCTGGAGTCAGGAGGACTCATCTTCTCGAGTTCAAATCGGGCCTCATACACTTCCTAGCTGTGTGACCCTGGGCAAGTCACTTCACCCTGTTTGGCTCAGTTTCCTCATCCATAAAATGGCAAACCACTCCAGTATCTCTGCCAAGAAAATCCCAAATGGGGCCAGGAAGAGTCGGACGTGACTGAAAGGACTAAGCAACAAAAACTAATAAACCGATCTTCTTCAAATGTTGTCCCTCAGTTTACCTTACTTCTCCAAGGTAGCAGTATTGAAAGGTAATGGACTCTCATTACACACCCCTAAAACACTGGACCAAAATTGGGAAACCTAGCACTAAGGAGCTAGAAGGCCTGTGGGACCTCAACATCCTCCTCTGTAAAGGGAGGGGCTGTGACCAGCTTGCCAAGGCCTTCTGTGGCTCTAAAATGCTACGTGGGATCCTTTAAATCTGATGTGAGCCCCTCAAATGGTTGCCAAGATAACCCTCTGCAAAGCACGCTCCTCCCTCTCCAGCACCCACCACCCCAGAGGACAAGAAGGCCTCGAAGGAGGCGCTTTTCTGGCCTGAAGAAGCGCCGTACAAATGCAAACTTAAAAACCTGTGCTACCTCTATTCACATAATCTCACAGATCATGAGAGAAAACATCCGCTTTTATTCAAGCATTGCATTACATATTCTCATTTTGTAACTCTGGGAATTCTGGTTGTAAATCATTAACTTAATTTTATAGAGACCAAAAACCACTCTGCAAATACGCCAACGTTTAATAACACGAGCAAGCAGAGGCAGTGTGAGCAACAAGCTGACGTGAGGTGGCGGAGGCAGCATTAGCTGCTCTTATCTCGCGTTATTCTGGTGAGTGGAAACATCACCTCTTTCCAGCATGAAAAACCGGGATCAGGGCACCGGCTCTTGGTTTCCAGCCGCTGCCAAGGCCATGTCTGAGCTGAAACCTGAAGGATCCAAGTCTCTTCCTGACAGAGCAAGATGCCACCGATGGTGCTTCAGCGCACACGCTCGCGCACGCACACATACGCAACACTCCAACAGCCACATCAATCTTGCCTAGTTTTTATTCATGTCTTCTCTACGCAATATGTAAATCACTAAGCCTAACTCATAGCCAACAGCACCCAGTAAAAAGGCTCACCTCAGCAAGAACTCGCATTCTCTGTGTCCATCTCAATTCCCAAGCTCGACCCCAAGTCCAAAGAAGCCCCACTTACTATTGCCAGATGTCTCCCAAGAGAGCTGAAGACCCTATACTCCTTTCTCCAAAAGCTTCTTACCCAGAAATCTTTCTCCCGACTCAAACCCACCTTTTGCCACCAGACCCGACAGGAGGAGCTAAGTATGAGCAGCCCTGAATCCTCCCTATTCCTGAGCATCAAACTCGGCCAGGAGTCACTGAAAGGCTCCCCCCATCATAGCATCTGCCCTATCACACAAGGCATGTATGTGCGCTGCTCTGCAGACCTTTCAGCACTGCGCAAACACCAGCTGCTGCTGTTTATTAAACATCTCTTCAAACAAACCCCAGACAACAAGGCCTCACCTGCACTGCCTTTTGTTCCAATCACTGAAGTGGGGAGAAGTTATGGCTGTGGACAAAAACTAACTGAGTATGATTAGGACTAGCAGAAATCCCCAGCTGCAATTCAGAATTAACGGCTGTCTGGAATCCTCAATACCCTCAACACTGCAAACATCATGAGTCAGCAAGGTGACACAATACACCAGGAGTCCAGAAGCCCCAAGTTCAAATCCAGATTCGCAAACTTAAGAGTTGTGTGAGCACCGGCCCTGGATTCAGAGGGGCCTGAGTTCAAATCCGG